GACACTAATAATCACGGTGACGGGGAGCTTGAAGTAACCTTCTTTCGGGAATTTCATCGGGACGCAAATTTGCGTGAAGTGGCCAGTCTCTATTTCGTGGACACGACTCAGTGCTGACATGAATTTCCACAGCTCCGAAAACTTGCTCAGAAAAAGGACGAGCTGACTCCTGAGGAGCAGTGTGTGGCTGAAAACGCGCATACAATCCTCGCAACGGACAGCGACCGACGCGGACCGTTGCATCTCTCACAAGCGAGATTGAGAACCTCTCCGCAGATTGTAGGCATCTTGATTGTCTATCTAATCTTATACACACTTCATTTCCAGTCGGAACCAAATTCTCAATGGGTCCTGCCGTCATGAGAGACCTTCCAAACACTTTCAGCTCGAACTTCTCGACTACTACAACCTCACATATCCGACTATACCTATCGTGGCGCGCGCTGCCGAGACCGCCGGAAATAATGACATCTTCATCCATGGCTCCGCACATGTCCACCCATACTTCATCTTGGATGGCCATCGGATAACAAGCTCTGTGTCGCAAACCAACGCTGCAAGTGCCTTGGTGCAGCTAGATGCTGACGGTGTCCGCCATGTTGGTCAGATATATAATATTATCACTCACCGACAGCCCGGTTTGGAGCGGCCGCAGTGCCTACTGGACATTCGCTGGATGAGACGCAACATGGACTTTGATATGGCCCCGTGGGATCCATAGTAAGTCTTGCCGGCGGGTGAAGACCATTTTCTCATTCATTTTCTCGGGATACATAGTCCTGAACTCGAGATTTTTGCCTGGGACCACGGCAAGTTCCTTCGGCGGGGAGACTCGGGGCCCGGAAGAATCATCCCAATCGATTCCATTCTCTCGCAGGCATGTCGCCTGACAGTCGACCTCCAAGAACAAATACGAGACAGCGACTCCGACGACTCGGATGAAGAGATTGAAACCTCAAAGGGACCTACGCGCAAGATCTGGTTCACCGCTGGCCTTACGCGGGTATGTTATCAAACTCTTGATTCATCATCGACACTCATCGCGTGGATAGGATGTGGCTGTTGTTTGAATTTCTTGTTCTAGATGTACCTTTGGGTAGCAGAGTATTCTTGCATGCATTTGAGTTTACATGGGCGATGTACGATGCATTCCGTGTGAATAAGAACAGTACAAGTGCAAGAACGATAGCGAATCTATACAGACAGCAAAAAAAAAAAGCGCAACAGTGTTATTACCCGGACCCCTTCCCTTCGTCATCACCAGCATAGCCATCGCCATCATCGCCGAATCCCTCCGGATTTTGAGTATACAGTTTGAAAGAGGCTTCAAGCTCTTTGTCTCCGTCAATATTCGTGTCGTACCAGTCTTGAGAGACCATGAATGGCCAGAGAGTTCCCGTCGGGATGCGGTTGTGTGTGTGGCCGAGATTTACACGTTGAACAGATGCACGCGGGGGCTTCTTGCCGGTAGTCTTTCGCTCCTTGAGAATGGCATCCAATTCATCCTTCAAGTTAGAGCACTGCGGTAATTGGTGAGCGGTTCTCCTGGACCAGAAACTGGGAATACCTCATTCGACTGAAATGCGGGCCGCACAACCTCCCAGATCGCCTCGCCCTGTCGCGTGCGACTCAGACGAGCAGCTTGGACAAGATGTTGCCGGTGAGCCGTTTTCTTCTGCTCGTCATCCGTATCCGGCGCTGAGATCTCATCGGACATCCAATCCGTCTCGAGTACGCAGGCAGGATTCTTGTTGTGCTTCTTACGATAATCTTTAACAGCTTTAATCCGGTGGTTTTTCAGCTACGAGGGAATATCAGCGCCGTTTATACCCAAACGAAGCACTCACGTCTCGTCTGCGCATTGCCTGACGATCCTTGGAGCCCTGGCGCGCTTGTCTCGCAGCAAATACGGGGTCGTTCTCGCCTTTCCATGTTTTCTTCCAGCTCCGAAAGTTAGTCTTCCCAAACTCGGCCAAATCCGCGCGCGTGAATGGGATGTTTTTGTGCGGGAGCGAGAATGTTGCTGCTGTTGAGTCCTGTGGACGTAAATGAGGGGTCAGAAATATAGATATGTCCGCGCCACGGGGTCCATTACACTTTGTTCCTTCCACACAAGATCTGCCGCGCGCTCAATTACTTTCATGTTGGTAACGTGGTCAACATTGGACGAGAAGTCGAACGAGAGAATCGGAATGGCGGATGAGGATGAGCTAGTGTTCTGTTCGACATCGGAATCGTTTTCGGAGTCTGCTTGCTCTTTCATGCCAGTCAGGTTCACGATTTCTGTTTTGATCTTTCTCTGCGCCGCGTGAAATTCGTCGTTCGAGCACTGGACAGACGAGAACGCACCATTAGATACTTCCGAACTTCTTTCTGCTCTCCAGACAAGTTTTTCGCTTCCTTGAGGATGTATGGCGATATTTTTTTTGACTTTTTGCGGCGTTTTGGGGATGATTCGCTATTGTCGGGATTGGCCCGTTTTGCAGCTTTCAAGTCGCGGACTTCGCGTTCTAAAGTACGTATTCGTTCTTCAGTATCAACAGATGAGGCATTTTGCAGGACAGGATCTATGACAGCGGTCGAATTCGGATGACTAGATGAAGGCAAGCGAGGTGCAGCAGCAGGCATTTGAGGGACAACACCGAACTGTTGGAGAGCAAGGAAGAGCTGTTGTGGTGAGAATTGAGGTGGTACTGGGTCGTTTGGGCCGCCATTGGACGGGAAGGAGCCGTAGAAGGCCATGGATGGTGGCAGGAAGTAGGCGCGTCGCGTTGTTTGTACGTGCGTCAAACGGACGTCAGTCTAAGTCGGATCAGAACGTCTCGGCAGACCTCGGCCGACGCTCAGTCTAAGAAATCTAACCTACGTCGGTCGAGCTCGGCAGAGGTCCCCTGAACAGACCTGTGACAACGGCAGCCAGCAAACCTCGACAGACCCTCAGTCCAGGTCTTCCAGAAGACCCCGACAGACCTCGACAGGCCAAGCTAGATTGGGCTTAAACGCAGTGATTGCGATAGGCCAGGCCAGAGGATGATTCGGTTCGACATGCTCCCGCCGGAGGTCATGCAGGCCATGTGCACCCCGATGCACCAGATCCTCCCCCCGACGCCCCTCCCGACCGCCGCCTCCAACAACCCCTACCCGCAGCCCTCCTCCGCCTCGCCGTCCCTACCACACCCACAATCACCCCTCGTCGTCGTCAGGAGGGCACCCGCAGATGAGCGGCGCGCTCTACCTCGGCTCCCTCAGCGCCGTGAACGACCACCCCCTGCTCAAAGCGCACGGCATCACGCATCTCGTACAAGCATTGGAAGCGCCGTGGGCGCCCCCCGCACGGAAGGAGGACGGGTTCGTCGCGTATAGCATCGATATCCGGGATAAAGAGAGCGTGGACCTGCGTCCGCATTTGGAGGCGGCGTGTGTGTACATCGAGCGCGCGCTGAGGAGGGGAGAGGGCGTGTTGGTGCATTGTCAGCAGGTGCGTGTCTCTCTTCCTCTGTCCAAGTCTTCTGTGCTCGTGCTCGTGCTTGTGCGGGTACTTGGGTTTTACTATTCTTACTTACCGTGGTGCGTCATGACAGGGCGTCTCGCGCTCGCCCAGCATCGTCATCGCGTACCTCATCCGCAACCACGCAATGAGCTATGACGCCGCCCTCGCTTTCGTCAAGCGCAAACGTGCCTGTGCGAAACCTAATCCTGGGTTCGCGCGTGCGCTTGTAGAGTGGGAACAGAGCTGGCGGAGCCCGCAGGCGCAGAGGAGGTTCACGTCGTAGGCGTTGTGTCAAACATTTTGGACTTTCTTTGGATTTCATTCGAAGGTGCGTGCGACGGGTTTTATGTGGCGAGGCTGGGTCTGGAGCTGATGACGCGCACACACAGATTGTGCGCGATCCCACTGTATCCACTCGTTCGCCCACGTTGTCTTTCCTTTACTTGACTTGCACACAACACACACCCCGCCCTCCTTCCGATTCGCCATCTGACTTATCTCGCCGCTGTCTCCGGATCTTCTGTCCGCGTCCACGGCTTCTTTGCGCCACACCACCCGCGCGATGTCATCCGCGCCGAAAATTGAAATCTATCCACGCGCTGTCCTTCCATCCATCAATCTTTTCTCGCATCCATCCGTACTACATCATCGCGCCATCCTCGCCACACCCACATCATCGCGTCCACCATCTCTTCCATCCATCGTCGCCGAAATCCAGCCGTCATCGCTGCACTTGTCCGCTACCTACTTCTCCGCCGGGTTTTTTGTGTTATTGGGTCTCATCGTGTATCTCTCCCTGTCTCGTTCTGCTTGTGCTTGTGCTTGTGCTACCACGTATCTCGTATCTATAGCTAACTGTTCTGTTCCTCGTTGCGTCGCGTCGCGTATTTATCCGGACTCTCTCTCGTCCCTCGTCGTCCTCTTCACGCACTTGCGCGTTCATGATACACACGTATTTCCTTTCATCTTCGCACTTCGCTATCGTACATATGGGGCCGTTGTCTTTGTCTTCTCTCTCTCGAGTTATATCGTATCTATTGGGTTTTTTTGCTGTCTCTCATCTCGTTCGAATTCGAACTACGGGGTTCGGGGTTCGCGCTCTCTTAAAGTTCAGTCAAAAATTTGGGTTCGTTTCAGATTCATAGCGCGTCCAACTCAACTGCGAACTGCCAACGGGAGAGCTGGGTTGAAATACCTTGGGGTATGTAGGCCAAGAAGGAAGGAGGGAAAATAATCGGGTGTGGTGTATGGCGCACGCTCCCTCCTCTTTGCGCTTTCAAAGGAATGAACGGGAGAAACCCGGGTTCGATTCCCGGTGCCCGAATAGGCCATCAAAGTCGTTTTGGTCCTTCATCCCTCCTTCAAAATTGCATTTTTTTTTTGGTTCGAAAACTCTGGGCCCAGAACATCCTTCCCTCTGCACACACTTGAAACATCTCGTGAGGGCAAGCTGTGGATGCACGAGGTTCAATGGAAGTGGGTTATTCAACCTCACAACTAGGCACTCGACTCGGGTGTGGTGTACGGAACACACTTCTTGCGATTTCAGTGTCAGTTTCATCGAAGGAGAGATCCGGGTTCGACTCCCGGTACCCGAATGGGCTGAGCTTTAACGGGGGGGTTTTTTTTTTTGGCTCTCAGGTCAGAAAAGCTGGTTCAAAAATCTGTGGTATGGGGAGGGTGCAACCTAAGCCCTTAACTCGGGTGTGGTGTACGGAACACGCTCCCTCTTCTTAAATTGGGGAGAAGAAGTAGTGAAGGGAGAGACCCGGGTTCGATTCCCGGTGCCCGAATGCGCCAACTCCGGGTACTGTTTGTGTTTTATTTCCTTGAACTTCTATTTCGTCGTTGAAAACTTTGTGAGTTATTCAACCTCGCAACTAAGCGCTCAACTCGGGCGTGGTGTATGGAACACGCTCCCTCTTCTTGAAAAGGGGGGCAAATAATTGTGAAGGGAGAGTTCCGGGTTCGACTCCCGGTGCCCGAATCGGCCGAGATTATAACATCGTTTTGGTCCTTCATCCCTCCTTCAAAATTGCATTTTTTTTGGTTCGAAAACTCTGGGCGCTGAACATGCTTCGCTTTGAACACCCTTGAAACATCTGGGCAAGCTGTGGATGCACGAGGTGTTCAAAAGTCTGTCGGTTATTCAACCTCAAAACTAGGCTAATAATTCGGGTGTGGTGTATGGAACACGCTCCCTTCTGTTCAGCTAAGTCGAGAGGTTGAAAGGGAGAGTCCCGGGTTCGACTCCCGGTGCCCGAATGGGAAATTCTGGTGAGATCTTTTTGGCTTCAAGCTGGAAAGGCTAGTTCAAAAATCTGTGGTATATGCAGGGTGCAACCCAGGCACTCAACTCGGGTGTGGTGTACGGTACACACTTCCTTCTCTTGCTGGGTGTGAAAAAAGATGGAATTGAAAGGGAGAGAACCGGGTTCGACTCCCGGCGCCCGAATCAGGGTAGTCTGTGAAGTCTTTTTGGCTCTAAAGTCAGAAAGCCAGTCCAAAAATCTGTGGTATATGCAGGGTGCAACCTGAGAACTCAACTCGGGTGTGGTGTACGGAACACACTCCCTCCTCTTACTGGCTGGACAAAAATATGGAATTGAAGGGAGAGACCCGGGTTCGACTCCCGGCGCCCGAATGCGCCAAATGCAGTTGCTGTTTTTTTTTCTCATCTTGAACTTCGATCTATGGTTCGAAAAATTGGTGAGTTATCCAACCTCGTAACTAAGCACTTGACTCGGGCGTGGTGTACGGAACACGCTCCCTCTTCTTGAAAAGGGGGCAAATAATTGTGAAGGGAGAGACCCGGGTTCGACTCCCGGTGCCCGAATGCGCCAATGCAGTTGCTGTTTTTTTCTTTCTTATCATGAACTTCGATTTGTGCCTCAAAAACTGGTGGGTTATTCAACCTCGCAACTGAGCACTCAACTCGGGCGTGGTGTACGGAACACGCTCCCTCTTCTTAAATGAGGGTCCAAATAATTGTGAAGGGAGAGATCCGGGTTCGACTCCCGGTGCCCGAATGCGCCAACTCCTTGCGCGTGTTTTTTTTCTCATCATGAACTTCGATCTCTGCCTCAAAAATTGGTGGGTTATCCAACCTCGCAACTAAGCACTGACTGCACTTGGACATTCGCGTTCGTATTCACCTCCGCAACTCACTTCGCTATCGTACATATGGGGCCGTTGTCTTGTCTTTGTATATCGGGTTTTCTGTGCTGTCTTCTCTTGGTCTTGGTTGTTTCAATCGTTCGTCTGTCCCGTGAGCATGCACAATGCCATCGTCAAAAACACTATGGGATATTCAACCTCGCAACTAGGCACTCGACTCCTATTCAACCTCGCAGCTACATAAGGACTCGACTTGAGCAACTGGACATGGAAGAGCTGGTTCAAGGATTGCTAGGATATTCAGGATGTAAAGGAGGGAGGTAATCGGGTGTGGTGTATGGAACACGCTCCCTCTTCTTGAAAAGGGGGGCAAATAATTGTGAAGGGAGAGAACCGGGTTCGATTCCCGGTGCCCGAATAATGTAGTCTTCCAACTCCACGACGCCTTTTTTTTCTGATCTTGAACTTCGAGCTATGGTTCGAAAATTGCTGGGTTATCCGACCTCGCAACTAAGCACTCGACTCGGGTGTGGTGTACGGAACACGCTCCCTCCTCGTCACATCTTCCGATAGTTTCCAGAGGAGAGTTCTGGGTTCGACTCCCGGTGCCCGAATGGCCCAGTTGCAAAGATTTTTTGGTCCTTGATCCTTCCTTCAAGCTAGATATATATTTTGGTTCGAAAACTCTGGGCCCAGAACATGCTTCGCCTTGAACATAACTTGAAATATCTGTGACTGATGCATATGGCTGTTCAAGGTTGATCTTTAAATTCTTGTCGAGTGGGTATAGATACATGTAGGTCGGTGCCTTATTCAACAGAGGAACTAAGCACTTGACTCGGGCGTGGTGTACGGTACACACTCCTTTCTTCTGAGCCTCAAATAATATCCAGAGGAGAGTTCCGGGTTCGACTCCCGGTCCCCGAGTAATTTTTCTTTTTTCATTTTCCCTTTCTGGGGTTTTTTTTCCACCTCCTCCTGCGAACTAAATTTTGGTACGACGACGATCCGAGAGCAACGTAGGGAACCGAGCTCGATATTTTTGGATATGAATTTAAATTGATCTTGAGCTTCGAGCTGGGGCATAACAATAAATAGGTGGTTTGTTCAACCTTAGAATGAGGCCAATAATTCGGGTGTGGTGTATGGATCACGCTCCTTCCTCTTTGTATGCGAAAAAGATGGAATTGAAAGGAGAGATCCGGGTTCGATTCCCGGTGCCTGAATGGAAGGAAACTTTCGTTAGGTCTTTTTGGCTTCAAGCTGGAAAAGCCAGTCCAAAATCTGTGGTATATGCAGGGTGCAACCTGAGAACTCAACTCGGGTGTGGTGTACGGAACACACTCCCTCCTCTTACTGGCTGGACAAAAAGATGGAATTGAAGGGAGAGACCCGGGTTCGACTCCCGGTGCCCGAATAAACCATGTATATTGCAAAGTCTTTTTGGTCCTTCATCCCTCCTTCAAAATTGCTTTTTTTTGATCCGAAACCTCAATGCATATGCTTCGTCTTGAAACATCTCGGAGGTGTGTGTGTGAGGGCAAGCTGTGGATGCACGAGGTTCAATCGAAGGGCCGCATCATAATTGGGAAGTCAGTAGGATAGTCAACCTCAGAATGAGGCTAATAATTCGGGTGTGGCGGATGGTGCACACTTCCTTGTCTTGTTCGTTGAGGCTGAATCGAAGGGAGAGGACCGGGTTCGATTCCCGGTGCCCGAATAATCCTAGTCTTTGAAGTCTTTTTTTGTCTCTCAGCTCAGAAAAGCTAGTTCAAAAAGCAGGCCCACAAGCCCCATTTTTTTTTGGTTCGAAAACTCTGGGCCCAGAACATGCTTCGCTTTGAACACACTTGAAACATCTCGTGAGGGCAAGCTGTGGATGCACGAGGTTCGATGGAAGGGTCGCATTGAGAAGTCAGTGGGTTGGTCAACCTCGGAATGAGGCTGATAATTCGGGTGTAGTGTGGTGCCCACTCCCTCGTCTTGTTCGTTGGAGATGAAATTGAAGGGAGCGGCCCGGGTTCGATTCCCGGCGCCAGAATAGTCCTAGTCTTCGTAGTCTTTTTGGTTCTCAAGCTGGAAAAGCTAGTTCAAAAAGCAGGACCTCCAAAATTTATGTTCCTCTCTTCAAGGACAAGAAACCAAGAGGACTTGGAGAGTGCGGCCGAAACATTCCTCTCCCCCCAAGAGGAAAGGACGGAGCAATCCAACGTTGCACCGCTGCTCCGCTGCCGAAACCGGCCGGAGTATCCAGGTCCGCCCAGAGGGAAATAGTATAGAAAACCTCGAGCTCATCGCATCTGCGGGGTGAAACGGGTCATCAAAACACAGCAAGTTGTTACATTTGACGGAATACAAAACTACATAGTATCGCTATTGCCCATGACAGCATATCCATTTAGACGCACTTTCCACCATCAACCACCATCTCCGTGCCGTTAATGAATCTTCCCTCGTCACTAGCCAAGTACAGACACATGTTGGCGACATCGTCTGCTTCCGCCAAACGGCCAAGAGGCACGTTTCCAACGAACTTCTGACGGTTCTCCGGGGTGTCTTCCATACCAGTGAACATAGAGAACAGACCAGTTCCTGAGATCATGGGCGCAACAGAGTTTATGCGGATGTTGTGTGGCCCGTACTCGGCAGCCAAACCCTTGGTGGCCTAGAAATAATCTCTTTTAGCATGTGTTCTTCATGGTCAAGTCAATCCACTACTCACGTTTGTGACGGCACCTTTGGACGCATTGTACCACACCAGGCCGGGTCGTGGCCGGGTCGCCGCAGTGGAAGAAATATTGATCATCGAGCCACCCTTCCCTTGTTCGATCAGGCGTGGCAAGACAACCTTTCCGGACAGGAAAATGCTCTTGACATTGACCTTGAAAACATGCTCCCATTCATCATCGGTGACCTCGACCGTAGGCTATACAGGCGTGACGCATCAGCAAATTGTAGGTTCTTCGAAACAAAGGATACCCACCTTGATTCGGTAGGACGTTCCTGCATTGTTCACCAACACATCCAGGCCACCGAACTTGGAGAAAGCCAAGTCCACAATGGCCTTCCAGTCACTCTCTTGTGTGACATCCATTCGCTGGAAGACTAGGTTGGCCAGGTTTTGCGCAGCAACCTTCCCGCCGCCCTCGACGTTGATGTCCGTCACGATCACCTTGGCACCCTCTTCGCCAAACCGACGGGCAATGGCAGCACCAAAGCCTGAGCCACCTCCTGAAAACAGACAAGAAGATTGCTTAGTCAAGACGTACTATTCGAAAAGGTTATAGGCACTTACCGGTGACGATGGCAACCTTCCTTTGTAGTCTCGACAAGAGTCTCGAGCCTTGAGCCAACATGATTGCAATGTGACACTGGGGGCAAAGACCGTGGGCGTGGTTTCATGGGCATATGATTGACACTTGCTATGATCAGTTGATAGATTACTATTTTAGCCACGCACCCTGATGTGGAATTATTCATGATCCTGCCCGTACTTCAGAGCCTTTCCCTCCGGGAAAAATAAAGGATACGTGTACATACCAGAACTACGGGTTGTCAAAATTTGAACTCGATTGAATTCCTGCACTGCGCAAAAGAAATGAAAAGGAAGAATTTTACGACATTTTCCCACACGCCAAAACGCCTGCCAAAATTGATTCCACCTTTGGTTCCATCATCGGAAGGTCCATATCTTCCACAACTCAATTATAAAGATTCTGAGAATATTTGAGGGTGTGTAGAAGACATGCATACTCTTGAGTCATGGTACCGAGTGGAATCTGGGGAAAGGACAGAAAGCCATTGCATGCGATCACAGCCGTGGACACATTGGGGCTAAAATAGTAGATATCAAACCTCATTCACTCCGGAAAATCCGAATTTTTGGGGGCCCTGATAACGTTCCCAAAACCTAAAGTTTCAGGAACCACGTAGGTGCTCCCGAAACCGTTCCCGAAACAAAAGGTATCGGCAGCCCAGAAACTCCCCGAAACGGAAGGTTTCGGGAACAGTTTCTGACCACCCGAAACCTTCCGTTTCGGGAACAGTGTGGACTTCGCCGAACCTGCTCCTGAAACCTTTGGTTTCGGGAACGGTTTCTGGAGAACTGAAACAAAAGGTTTTGGCTCTCCAGAAACCGTTCCTGATACTTTTGTTTTCGGGAACTGATTCAGTGTCCCCTAAACAATAAGTATCGGCAACGGTTTTGGTGCTCCGGAACCTGTTCCCGAAACCTAACGTTTCAGGAGCACTGAAGCATAACTGCAGCTTCGAGGCAGCTCAGCTGCAGCTTGCAAAAAATTCGGAAAAAAATTATTTACAATTATTTACAAACTTGTGTACAAATGTAAACTCATCCAGTAATATTCATCGCTCCTTCAAAATTACATTTTTTGGTCCAAACCTCAATGCACATGCTTCGCTTTGAACACACTTGAAATGTCTCGGAGGTATGCGTGAGGGCAAGCTATGGATGCACAAGGTTCGATGGAAGGGCCGCATTGAGAAGTCAGTGGGTTAGTCAACCTCAGAATGAGGCTGATAATTCTGGTGTCGTGTGGTGCACACTCCCTCGTCTTGTTCGTTGGAGATGAAATTGAGGGGAGAGGACTGAGTTCGATTCCCGGTGCCCGAACAATCCTAGTCTTTGAAGTCTTTTTGGTTCTCAAGCTGGAAAAGCCAGTCTGAAAATCTGTGATATGGGGAGGGTGCAACCTAAGCCTTAACTCGGGTGTGGTGTACGGTACACACTTCCTTCTCTTGCTGGGTGGCAACAAGATGGGTGAAAGGAAGAGATCCGGGTTTGACTCCCGCCGCCCGAATAAGGGTAGTCTTTGAGGTCTTTTTGGCTTCTAGTTCAAAAATCTGTGGTATGGCGGGGATCCAACCCAAGCGCTCAACTCGGGTGTGGTGTATGGAACACGCTCCCTCCTCTTAGGCGGTCGAAAAAGCGGTAGAATTGAAGGGAGAGATCCGGGTTCGATTCCCGGTGTCCGAATGGCTAGTTTGCAAAATCTTTTTGGTCCTTCATCCCTCCTTCAAAATTGCATTTTTTTGGTTTAAAAACTCTCGGCGCAGAACATGCTTCGCTTTGAACATACTTGAAACATCTCGTGAGGGCAAGCTGTGGATGCACGAGGTTCGATGGAAGGGCTGCATTGAGAAGTCAGTGGGCTATTCAACCTCACAACTAAGCACTCAACTCGGGGATGGCGTCCGGGTCTTTACCAAGTCAAAAGCACAATTTGATGAACCTGATCCCATCCCAGTCCAGATAGTGGACGCCAGAGATGAGGAACAGTCAATAACAATAAGTTTCAGCGGGAACACCGTTAACAAAGGGTCGGCCGATGCGAGGAGTGCAATTGCACTTCTCTACGGTACAGATGATGACTGTAACCTATCAGGAGCACTACCAGTCTCAATGGAACAATCAACAGATGGGGCGGAGCTGGCAGCGGCTCTTGTGGCGACTCAGAGAACTGCAAAAGATGTCCCCCTGCGCCTCGAGAGTAGCCGGGACACGGTGCTCAAAGCAATGTCGAAGACTCTTGACAAGAATGAAGACAGAGGCTGGATAGGTACCAAAAATAGAGATATCGCGCAGGCCTTGAACGCAGAGTTGCGTGCCCGCACAGCACCCACGATCCTCGCTGTTGCGAGAGATGGAAGAAAATGCGAAGAAGCATCCGGGATTGCGCGGACCGCGGCACGCGACCCCGTGATGCAACCAATAACAATAAACTGCAATGCGCCTAAGAAGACACACCTCGCGGGCCCTAAATTAAGTGCACTTACGCAGGCATTGGCATATAAAGGTATTAAGGAAACATACAAGAAAGTCTCAAGGAAGGCAACTAACGAGAATGTGGGTCTGGTGCAAGATTCGCTGCGGGCGCAATACTCTCATGTACCCACCGCATCGACCATCTGGAAATCTCTACGCCACAAGGACATAACAAGACAAATACGGACTTTTTTGTGGAAGTCCATGCATGGTGCGCACCGAATAGGGAAGTTTTGAAAAAATATTCCGGAATGCGAAGATCGAGCTACGTGCGGCCACTGCCAGGAGACTGAAAACCCGGAACATATACTGTTTGGGTGTAGCCGACCTGGGCAAGCCGAGGTATGGAAACTAGCCGAGGAATTTTGGGCGAAGAAACACCCTACATGGCCCCCGCTTTCGATGGGAAGTATTTTGGGCTGCGGAATGGCGATTTTTGAGGACGAGAAAAAGCGCCATCATGCCGCGAAGGCGCGGTTGTATCGTATCCTTATCACTGAGTCCATGTATCTCATATGGAAACTCAGATGCGAATGTGTTATTGGACGCAACGGTGAACCACCAACCGCGAATGAAATACACAACAGATGGGTACATACAATAAACGAGCGCCTGGAGATAGATAGGAATCTCACAAACGAGCTCAAGTTCGGCGGAGAAAGATTTGCCACGGGACTGGCTTAACAAAACTGAGGTTTTAGTGGGTATAGCGTCAATAGGGTCAAGAAGACCCCCGTCCCCAAATGAAGGGGTCGGATAGTAGAGATGCTGAGCCCCACATTGCCGCGCGGGCGGTATGCGTAATTGCATTTCCTCAGGGGTGGGAACGGGGTCGCGAGTCCCCCGTCCTTACGAGGCTACCGGGGGCTAACCTATTGTTAGCTGCCCGGAGCCCTATCGTACCGCCAAAAAAAAAAAAAAAGAGTTGATCTGACAAGTTGCGCATTTCTTGTCAAGTTGGATGGAAGAAGTCGGGTTAAACGACTGCAGAACGGGGCTAGTAATTCGGGTGTGGCGTATGGTACATACTCCCCGTCTTGAAGGATGAAAAAAGGTGGAATTGAAGGGAGGAAATCTGGGTTCGACTCCCGGCACCCGAATGATTTCATTCTTCTCTCTTTGTTCCAAAATCGGTCATCTATCCCTCCAGACACACTTGAAATATCTTGGAGGTTAGGGTGAGGGTGAGTACTGATCTCGAGCTATTTCTGTTTCTGTCAAGTTCAGTGGGTTAGTCGACCTCATAACTAGGCTTATAATTCGCGTGTAAAATTGATACAATGCCGCCGAGATCTCCGACACTTGGTTCGAAGATTGTTGGGATATTCAGTGTGCAACCCAATCCTTTAATTCGGGTGTGGTGGATGGGACACGCTCCGTCTTTCTAGTATGAGTGTGGGAAGGGATGAATGGGAGAAAACTGGGTTCGATTCCCGGCCCCCGAATCTTTTCGCTCTCTACATTTTTTTGCCTTGAACTGAATTTCTGGTTCGAAAATCGGTCTCCAGACACATTTGAAACACCACCGAGGTCCGAGGTGTGAGTGAGACTGATCTCGAGCTGTTTAAAATTAATTTCTCGTCAAGTTCATTGGAAGAAGTCAGCGGTGAGTCGATGTTAGAACCAAGCCAATAACTTGGGTGTGGTGTCCGTGGTGTATTCCTTCAATGATGTCTATCGGCGAGTAGGTGGGTGAGCCGGGATTGATTCCCGGTGCCCGAGGCCCAGGCGTGGTCCCTTTTTTAGTCCTTCAGCTGGATACTTTGAAAATCGAAGCTAGCAAGCTTTCTTCCCTTTGAAAACACTTGAGAGGGGCAGTGTCGATAAGTCAGTGGGTTATCCAACCTCGCAACTAAGCGCTCACCTCAGGTGTGGTGTTAGGCACACGTTCTCTCCTCTTTAAGGTCTAAAAGAAATGCGAGGAAGAGATCCAACTCCCGGCACCCGACTAGAGCACTCCACCCATTGTTTTTGTTGCCCTAACTCAAAATGACGATACGGAGGAGTGCGGGGAGAAAATTCTGCTTTGTATATTTGGAAAGGAAATACGCGAAAGCAAGCAGAAAAAATCCAAAGAGCCGACTCATCCAGGCACCGGGAATCGAACCCGGATCTCTTCCTTACTCCCTTTTCGGAAAACCAAGAGAAGGGAGGTGTACCATCCACCACACCCTAGTTGGGGGCTTAGGTTGCAACCTGCATATTCCACCAATTTTTTTTAAACAATGCCCTTCCATTGAACCTCGTGCGTACACGGCTTGTTTGATCAGCCATGACTGACAATCAGAGATATTCAAGTTTGTGCAGGGGACGAGTGCTTGCTACTCAATTTTGAGCCGCTCTTCTAGCTTGGAGGTAAAAAAGGGTTGAAAAAGCTAGGATCATTCGGGCACTGGGAGTCAAACCTGAGACTCTCCTTCCTATTTCTTTAAAGGGGCAAGAGAGGGGAGCGTGTACCGTACACCACACACGAGTTCGGACTCCAGATTACACCTCCAAATACCCCCAATTTCTAAGGGAAGAACTTAGAATTCAAGTCATGTAAGGCAACAAAAAAAACTGCACTATCATTTCATTTCGCGAAACCGATTCTCTTCCTTCAGATGAAGAGGAGAGAGTATGTCCCATACACCACACCCGAGATATTACCCTAGTTCTGAGGTCTATTAGCCCACTGACTTTCAGGATATTAAAGATTACAGTATGATTGAACAACTCGTCAGTCAGGGGAAGGGATGCTTGCTCCGTACTGTACCAAAATATTAAGTTTGAAGGAAAGGTGAATTGCTTGAACTTGACATTTTTAGATCAAAAATTGAGCAACGGAACACTTGTATTTTAGCCTTGGACGCACTTGAGATATGTCTGAATTTTGGCTGGCTGGTCTGACCAGCCGTGTATGTACGAAGTTCGATGGAAGGGCAGTGTTAGGAAGGGTTAGTCAACTGCAGAACTAGGTGGATACTCGGGTGTAGTGGATGGGACACACTCCCTCCTCTTCCATTAAATACAACACAAATTGAAGGAGAGTCCCGGGTTCGACTCCCGGCGCCCGAATAGCCACGGAAATGGCATCTACTCTTTTTGCCCCCAAGCTAGAAGAGCAGGTTCGAAAATATGCTTGGAAGGGAGGGATTATTTCCCGAGGCTGCCGATTCGACCCGCAAACATGGTGGACTATGAATATCGCCAGGAATAGAACCATTGGCACAATCGAATTGAGTCCAGGAGCCGGAAATGGTGCGACACAAGACAGACCTCCTGGCTCAGGATGACGATTCGCAGAAGGTAGACGTCGAAAATCGCCGAGGATGGCTCCAGAGCCAAATTCCGAGAGCTGCCGTCATGGAGAGGTAGAGGGAACTGGGGCGAGGACAATCCTTTTGAATATGGACGGTACTGGGAATTTCATGTTCTCTGGAGATCGGCATGAGTGGGGCCGGTTAACAATGGGTAGCAGGGATGCGTACTCCCTGATTTTCCGAAGAGAGCCTGGCCAAAAGCTCGAATGCGACATGAGTATATTGTGTTCAGGGGCCCAGTTTATGTAGTGTGAGCTGTGACGGTCCCTCCGGATCCTGGCTCCTGTGTTGGATGCAGAGAAGCGAATGGACAAATATGTTGCTGTTGTTCATCCAGCTCTGGCTGAGAACGATGTTCGCGCCGAAGGTAAAATTGCGAATGCTGCCATGAGAAAAGATTCGAGCTCATTGAAAGAAACTTGTTTGTCTCGGAGAGCCCGAGGATGCCGAGCAGTTCTGGGTGTAGATTGCTACACGTACGCCGATCCCCGAAATGTCGGGGTCCGCAGGAATGCTGCAATCAAAGACAAGGCTCTGAATTATGGGACTGGAAGAGAGACGAGGTACTGTGCCGATCGAAACTGTCAATAACGATGTCTCAAACAGCAGTAGGACGACACGATGATGCGGCTGGATTGGATACAGCTATGGTGCGGTGTTAATCTGAGGTGCCAGCCGCAAGGCATTGAGGAACGGTTGACCTTTCGAATGTTGGTAGGTAAATAAATGATAGGGCTTCTACTCGAGGTCCGTGAGCATGGGCTGCAAATTAAACACGCAATCCAAATTTGCAGCGTCGGTCCGGGGACGATTGTTAAACTGGTCTGTGAGACCAGATTTGGAAGGTTGATCAGTTTGTGTAGGTGTTTTCGCGTTGGTCGGATAACTGCACGAGAAAGACAGAAATACGCAAAGACGGGCAATGTTCGACAATCTGAGAGCTTGTGGAAGTCCGCTAAATTGAAAATTCTAAGTAATACCCTGGATTTGATCAAGTCAGCCACCAGACGCGTATATTCAACATATGAGACTTGGGCTTACACGCAGGTCAGAAATCAGCCCAGAAGTTGCACACCAGAGTGATAGTGCTTGGAGACGATGGTGGCGGTAGGTAGGTAGGTAGGTAGGTAGAATTACACGGCACGGTCCTGCTCAGGAACGCCGGTTTGAGGAAGTATCCAGGTGTACTGAAAGACACAAGAAAGACAGAGTGCCTGCCGATCATTTGGATGCCCGCATCATGATTCGGCCCGCGTGATCCGTTGCTCTTGACATTCTTACTTACCTTCGTCCATCATGTTGCGCACCCACAGGACGTCTCGCACTCGCCCAGCATCGCCATCGCGTACCTCGTCCGCAACTACACGATGAGCTATGACGGCGCGCTCGCGTTCGTCGAGTGGGAGCAGAGCTGGCGCCGGCCTCAGACACAGAGGCGGTTCACGTCTTAGGCGTGTTGTCATCATCCACTTTGGATGGATGTATTTTGTATGTAAAGGTGCGTGCGGCACGCTGGAGCTGATGACACGCAGATTGTCCGCGATCCCATTGTATCCATTCGTTTGCCCACGTTGTCTTTACTTGCATACGACACACCGCCCTCTCACTTATCTCGCCGCTGTCTCCGGATCTTCTGTCCACGTCCACTCACTTCTTTCCACTCGGGCGCTGACTTCTTTGCGCCACATCACCGCGCGCTGTCCTCCTTCCTCCTTCCTCCTTCCCTCTCTTCTCGCATCTCCGGTCTTCATCTTCCGCGCCATTTCTCCCATCTTCCGCGCCAGCCACATCATCTCGTCCCCGCGTTCTCACTCTCCGCATTCCCCAAAATGATCACATATGGCTTGATGTGGCTGTGTTCGCTTGCAAATCAAGCCATATACTAGTATGATATAGGTTAATAGCCCGTGCACCCGAGCAGCCCCTATTATGGGTTTCATCATTATTGGATCTCATCGTGTATCTGTCTTATTGTGCTTGTGCTACCACGTATCCGTATCTATAGCTAACCTCATTCCTCATTTCTCCATCGTTGCTGCGTGTGTTGCGTATTTATTTCTCTTTGCCTTCCTTACATACTCTGCGCTGATTATTCGGGGACTCGCCTCGTTTCTCGTCACCGCGATCCAGACATTCCCTTTTCTCTTCACGCACTGGTGCGTTTATCCATTCGCACTCGCGTGCACCTACATGCATATCTCGTGCCTATGCTCGTGCACCTACACATCTCGTATATTCATACATATTTCCCCCTCCTTTCCACTTCGTCTTCGCCTTCGCATATCGTACATATGGGGCCGTTGTCTTATCGAGTGTATCTATTGGGTTTTCTTGCTGATCTCTCCACACAAGTTGTGAAACCGTCGGAAGCGGTAGGAAAGCGATTCAGCTTGATATTTTTGTTCAAAATTGCTGGGATACGGAAGAGTGAGAGAGTCGGGTATGGTGGATGGAATTCTATCCACACTTCAAGTCAAATTTGATGATATGCCGATGCGCTCCACGCGCTACGGAGCCTTTTCTAGTGAACTGTCTCCGATTCTCTGGGCAAATGTTTGTAATTCTTTCAGCAACGAGATTTCGACTGCTCATCCTTGTTGTAAACGACGCTTCTCTACCCCGCGCTGGTTTGCATCATCCGCCAATGTGACCTCTATTGGCCTTCCTCGCCGATAAAATTGTTCTCACACCCGCGTTGTCACCGACAAAATGTCGACGGACTTGATGGATGTGGGGAGTCATATTCCGCAATGACATGTAATGATCATGAAACTGTAGAAGCGCCTTTCTTCACAGCATATTACTGCTCGAGGCTGTTATCAATCCTCATTGCATGGACCTCAAAGAGTTTCTCACCATCTTTTTGACACCGCGGTCAAAGAACGACGCATGTCGTTTGACATGCTGTCAAAGCATCTATTTCGCATCCGCTGCTACAGTGTGATGGCTCATACAGACGTGGTCTGTAGGGACGAAGGGAAGGGACCCCGGGACCCCCAGGGGGCTGCAGCCTTCCCTTTATCTCTCCTTTGTGCACCCTTTGTCCCTACAAAGGACATTTGTCAACTGATGTAAGCTGTCACACTAGATGTGAAATGGATTCGTCGATGGCATGTCAAACGGCATTCATTGTTCTTTGCCCCCAGTGTGATGCACCCATTGGTTTGACCGTTCGATCACATTCAACCTTGTTCCTCGAAGGTCATCGATCTTCGATCCTCATCGGTGATAGTATACTTCCTTACTGCTCATCACATGAGCCTTATCTGTCCAACTCTTATGAACTCGTCTGGGGAGCTAAATTATTCTGACAGCAACATTGTGATTTGTTGCCACATTGAATATGATGGATGGCGTACATCTGTCACTGCCTGGCAGCTGTAGCCATCCAATCAGCGTGGCATTGATCTTCGACCGCAGCACGACCATATGGTGGATCAATATACCCACTCACACTTTACTCTCTTCCACCATGGCAGAACTCATTGGACTCCTCGCAAGTATCCTCCAACTTGTTGACACTGTTGTGAAAGCAGGGGTACTGCTCAAGGATCTACACAATGCAAATAAAGACCAAGCTCGGATCATCTCTGAAGTTCAGTCCCTCCAGCCACTCATAGCTGCATTGCAGCAGCGCATTCTGGCAAATAGTTCAACCACTGGGATGCAACAAATCGAGGATCCTCTACGCCAATTTGAGGATACAATGATACATTTCAGCAAGAAATTGAAAGTGGCCGACAGTTCACTGGGAAGGATGTCAAAGTCGCTGGCTTGGAGCCTATGGTCAAAAGAGGAAGCCAAAGAGGATCTCAGCAAACTGGAGCACTTCAAGTCCTTGCTCAATACCTGGTTGACAGTGGATATTTGGTGTGATTCTTCCATACAGCTGTTATAATGTTCTAACCCTGGACCAGGGACATCAGTCAGCACCAGATCAAGAGGAATAATGGTGAGTGATAGGTACATGCAATAGAAAGGGGCCTAACAGGCAATTGGAAACTTTAGATATTCTTATTGCAGTGAGCTCAGCTCATCAGCAACAACAGGTCGATCACAATGGTGAGCATAATCAACCCTTGTTCAAAACTGGAGGTTTACAATTCTTCAAAGAACAACAGCAAGATCATGATCGTGAGTAAATGCGGAGGAGTGTATCAATTGTGCCAATTGTGTTACCCAGGTATTCTTCACTCTGTCACAGCTGTTGCGCAAGAGCAGCAGCGCCAGTTGGAAGGTGTGTCCAACAACATAGACATATACCATAAGTTATGTTGAAATTTGATGCAGAGGCTGATCGGGAAAAGCTGATTGAGTGGATGTCACCACTGAACTTCTTCGAGCGACAGTTGGACATTTTCAGCAATTGGCAGCCAGGGACAGGTGATTGGCTCCTTTCAGATACCAAATTCAAAGAGTGGGAGTGCGCCACTGGAACAGCAGCGCTGTGGTGCCGTGGAATGCGTGGGTTCTTTCAATCATTCAATAACCTGTTTTCTGAGCTCTTTCTGATAGCTGGAGCTGGTAAAACTGTGCTTGCGTGCGTGGTCTGGATGCAGGATAATTTAAGTACTCATTCATGCATAGATCCATGGTGGTTGACCACCTCCAGTCCAACCACAAGGAGTCTGGTGTTGCATGCATATATCTAAATCACAAAGAAACAAATTCCCAGACACCACAAAATATCATTGGTGGGCTGTGGAGGCAGCTTATCATAGGGAGATCCATACCTGCCCCAGTGCATGCCCTTTA